TATAATTAATCTCGAGCCGGCGAAAAAGTCTGCGGCGGACAAGTAGAACGAGAAGCGCGCGCACCGTTCCCCCGGTCTTGTACGACCGGCTCCGTCGAGTTTAAAGATTCTCATTTTGCGAACAATTCCGCCGGATGAGACATCGCGGGTAATTAAGCGGAGGCAGCTGAGGAACAAGAGGAAAAAAAAGAGAACGCGAGTAAAGATGGAGAAGGAGAGACGGGAAAGAAGAGTGGAAGGGAGGGAGGGAAAGGATCTCTCTCTCTCTCTCTCTCTCTCTCTCTCTCTCTCTCTCTCTCTCTCTCTCTCTCTCTCTCTCTCGCAGACACACAGTCGGATCAAGCTACTGCCGCGAGAGCACGTGTACGTGAGCGCGCGTTGTTACGCAAGGTGAACGTGCGTGGACGCGAGGAGCGTTTACACCGTGCGCGCGTCCCGTACACGGCCGAGTACGTACGTCGCTTTACCGTAATTACGAGCGAGCTTAATGCGCCCTGCGAATGATACCTATTTGCGAGCACCGACGGTGCATTACGGTGGCTACCTTTCCGACGGACGTGTGTGCGTGCGCGCGCGAGTATACACGACCGTCGCTCCGGCATTAATGCGGCTCAAGTCCGAAATGCCTCCAGCCAGCCACAGGCAGCCGGCCGGTCGGTATCGATATTTCAAAATCGGCGCAACGGAGCCCGGAAGTGGGAAAACGTAGGAACGTGATTAAGGCTCGTTTCCCAGCGTTTAATTGCGAGCCGTTTGAATAATGAGTCGCCGGCCGTCGGCGTCGTCTCGCTTCACGGTGCGACACGGTGAAATTACGTTGTAATTGTAAAAATGCGCCATCCTGTACTTAGACAAATTACCGGCCCGGAGCCCTGTGTGTGTGTGTGTCGCGGAAACGTGATTTATCCGTTTTCTGCGGGTCACGCGCGGGGACTCTAATTTGTTTAACGTGAAAAAGAGATCAGTGTCACGAGAAACCCCGATTGTACCCGCCCCTCCCCCCCTACGTGCGCGAGGTGAACGCGCGTTAATGAAACAACGAAACAAATTTTCAGTGTGAATCTTGAAAATAAATATGTGATCATCTTTTTCTCTGGTAAGAATCTTCGACGGCACCCTGAAGAAGGTGCGCGACAATGCGATAATTATGAACGAAAATGAACGTGATAATTTATGCAAGAAAGCCCGCTATATATCTCGGCCGCCAAGGAGAAGCGCACAATTAATAAGAGAGAAGAGCGCGCGCGCGCGCGCGAGAGAGAGAGAGAGAGAGAGAGAGGACGCATTATACGCTTCGTTTAGAAACATTTCTCCTACACTTTGCTGTACTTTTGTAACAGACGCGCATTTTGTTTGTGTGTCCTTTTGCACGTTTTCTGCAGTGCGTTTCCGCAGTGCGACAGACATCGTCCGAGTAAATTTAATAAATATTTTTCACCACACCTCGTCTGTGTGTGTTGTGTGTGTGTGTGTGTGTGTGTGTGTATGGATGTGGGAAAGATTTTTCCCGCTGCGGGAGAAAGAGCAGATCCCGCTGCTACTTACAGATTAACCCTCGGATGTGCGCGTGTGAATTACGTTCGCGACACGTCTTCACCGTCGGGACATTGACGAGTAGTTCTGACCGCGTATCTTATCGCCCGTGAAGTTGGCGAATTCCCGGATGCTCCTGCTTGAAAATTTCTCTCAACTCAGCAAGACACATTGCGCGACTGCACGAAAGCGAAAGATCGCACGGAGGGAAAAGATCGAACTAACGTGATGATGAACGAACCACACTAGGAAAAATGTATTGTTGCGTGAACCAAAATTTTGTTGTAACAACAAAATAATTTGGTTAAAATATGTCCAACAAAATTGTTTAGTTCCTGTAAACAAATATCTTGTTTGATTACGGTTTGTTCGTATAACGTAATACTTTTGTACATTTTATGTCATAGTAACCAACCAAGCTTTAAATATGTGAGTTTTGTTAAAAATACTATAATCTTTTATTAATATATAAAATCTAAATTTTAGTGCACTGCACAGAAAGACAAAATAGTATCCATTGGGCATTATTTTAGTTTATGTAGAATAATATTTCGTTATTATGTAATTTTTATGGATAAAATCATTAAAATGCTTAATTTTTATACATGAACAAAATCTAAGAACAAAATCATTTGGTCCAGAGAACAAAGCAGAAAAGTATACTCAGTTTAGACAACTAAATATTTTGTTGTATAAAACAAGATATTTGGTTGCTATTAAAAAAAATGCCTCAACTAAACAGTTTTGTTAGAGGTACTAAATTTCTTTTCCCAGTGCAGGCGCGTGTTCTGATCTCCGATTGTTAGAACGAAATTTGGCTCATAAGAAACAGAAAGCCCGTTCCCTTCAATCTTCAAAACGCGTCCGGATCGGACGCGTCATCGTCACGTTCATACGCCGATTTTCAATTCCATTATTCTCTCCGTCAAGAAGCGATATTCGTTCAAACACATTGTGCGAGTCAATAATAAATTTTAATAAATTTGCACAACACTTTCTTTTCCTCAATGCGCGTTCATGAATTATTAAAGGTACCCCGGGAGAAGTATCGCGCGCGTATTCACGCATCGCCGTCGATAATATTCTCCCTTTGCGACCGGCAGACAAAAATAAAAGAGAACGATGTATCAAAGGAGCAAGATGATCTTTATAATATTCTCGTAAGACGCTCACGTACACAACAGTATCGACCGACGTGCATAAACATCGTGGCTTTTGACGGCGGTTTCAATATTCGCGGGGGAGTCAGCGGGCGTCGTGGAAACGAGCGCCGCCGCGGATGTCACCGCGGCACGGATGTGCACGTCAGAAACGAGAGCACATTAAATTTATAAGCGCCCGTTAAATTTCTCATTTCATGCGTGAAGGAATCTCGGCGTAAATCGCGGCTTATCGAGTTTAGCTTCGACGTAGAAACGCATTTATTCAGGTCGACGCGGCTGCGAGCCGTTTGCGGCCGGGATGGGCGAAACCATGTATACAGAGACTTTCCTTCTGCGCGCCGGTTGATGACATTTCCGGGCGAGACCATTATCGTCCTGCCGGCGGACACGCAGGACGTTGGGAACTTGGGACGGTGAAATTTTTGAGCAGCGCGCGAGTCGACGTATCCGGTCGAGCCGTTCGTTCAAACGCCGCGTCTGCGGCGAGCAGTTTCGGTAATAACAACTTACGTCGCGAACGCGAACGTTGTATTTGTTCGGCGAACGTGACTTCGCGACGGCGCTTTAATTATGGAGATTATTACCTGCCGGCCGGACATTCGCCGAAATTTACGGGATTACCGTACATCCACGTAAATTACGTATTCGCCGCCGGACAATACGGGGGGGGGGTGGGGGTGGGGGGAGGGGGGAGAGTCTGCGACGACGCGCATCGACGTGGCCGCGCGTCTCTGTTGTCTCTGAATTATTTGTTCGTAGCGCGAAAAGCTCGGGCGATAAATCTAATTAATCGCGGGATTAATCAAACACGAAGAAATAACACAGCCGGAAATACTTGGATCGTTTAGATAGCCACCTTTCTCCCCCTCGTATAGCCCTATAAATGTATTATCGCGCGTCACGCGATCTCCGTGAAAACGCGGGATTATTCGGCACGAGGCTTAAGTTAGCGTCCGTCGTTAAAGAGGGAAATGTTGCAGACGAGGAAACGTCAAAATCGGATTACCGGTGTCGGGAAGTAACAAACACGAAAGTATCGATACTTACATTATTTTCCGCAAATCCGATAATTCGATCCTCGCGATAATCCAACTTGCGAAAGCACGCGGTGAGAGGCAGGAATTTCCTGCTTGGTTATCAGCGTTAACGCGAGGAGGGAAATCCCGCTGAATATTTTCTCACGAGAGATTTCCATCGCACTCGTCGGATAAACGCGCCGCTATCGAAGTCGTCCAATTGACCGAAGGGAGCTGAACCTCGCGTACTGTCGTCACTCAATCCGGCGAATTATTTCGTCCGAGCGTTTCACTCGTTCTCTCTCTCTCTCTCTCTCTCTCTCTCTCGTCTCTCAGAGTTTTCGTTTCGTTTGCGAATCGATGCGGCAACGGAGGAGTCTTACTTTTCGAGTGCGCGCTACACCGCTACAAACAATAGAAAAAGAGACGCACCCTCTTCTTGCCTCGTTGTTTGCCCAAGTCAGGGGTGCCTCGTGCGGAAAGCCTCGGAAAAGTGATCGCGGGAAGATGCTCAGTTTCTCACGTGGATTTCATTGTTTCCCTACGTGCCTCTGTACCCGACCGGGTCCCCGTGAAAACGCAGCGAGCGTGAAACATCAAAGTGCACCCACTCGCCTCCTTTTCCTTTCCTCCCTCCCCTGCCGAGCTTGATTATCACTCGTTCAATATTGTCTGAGAGAAGTCGAGTAAGCGCGCGTTTGCGTACGCGCAATGAAAGCACGTGTCACGCGTTCTTATTCGGCGACAAGAGCGAGCGATTCGCGAGCGCTCATCGCGGCGTTACCGCGCCACTGCGGAGCGCAAAATGTACACTCCGATTCCACGTATGGTGACGATGGTGACACTTCACTCGACGTGAACATCTTACTCCACCGGCCCTTCGGGATCGTGCGTATGATTTTGTTTGCGCGAACGCCACGTCGTCGGTCAAATATCGCACGTCTAGTTGCCAACAAGTCGGAAAAAGGCCGAATTTGCATGACAGCTAATTCAGCGAGAAACGAGAGACGAAGAGAAAAAGAGACACGTGGGAAATCGTCGCTCTCACATTTGAGACAAGTCGAACTTCACAAAGAGGGTCGTCTTCCCTCAATTACCCTCGGGAAGTGATGCGATTTAGATGGTAGTACTAGTGAGATATCGGCCGTGGCTCGGTAAAATAGCGGGGAATATAAGGAAAAGCGGACATAAAATTGATCTTGCCCTCCTTTTTCCCCCGGTGTGCACTTTTAGCTCGCTCCTGAAGAAGCGCATAACGAATCGCGGCGCAGAGAGACGTTTATATTACCTTTTGGCAGGAATCCAGCGTGTATTAGCCTCGCCTCCATGAGCAGAGAGGGTAGGAGGAAGCACATGGCCGTGCAGAGGTGCACGAAGGCCGCCGTAGGGCCGCCGTGTCTCCATAAATTATTCGCCAGACCTAAAAATCGTGATTATCGTGCTGCTCAGCGTCTTTCTCCGCGTTACACGTCGTGTAATTAAGAACAATCTATCATCTCTCAAACAGGCGAAAACAGACGTTACACCTACACGGTGGTCTTCACGCTCGCTTTTCACCGCTCTCGGCTCCACACTCTCTTTGCGACGCGCTATTTCGAACCTACTATAGCAATAGATTCTTTAACTCGATTATACACATTGATCACAATCGACAGGGTCTGTCCTGTAGAAAGTCTCGATTATCCGACAGATACGAAAATACGTGCAGCATTCATTGCAATACTTCACAAATCATGTAGATTTAGCTGCAGCTTTCATCCCTTTCGCGCTTCAACACGGTGTTATTAACTGGCGTTATTAACGCCAGTTGTGTCAACTCTATGATATTCGGAGTGTCTCGCATTTATATTTTTGCTATTTCCAGCGCTACTTGCGCTACTTACTGTTATCGGCGTTATTGGTGAGAAGCGAAGACGGTGGGTCGCGCGAGCAAGCGCTCAAATGTCGGCCCAGTTTTATTCCGTCGTTCGCGAGATTGCCGAGCTTCAAGAACGCCGCACCAAGAAGCACCGGGAGTAAAACCACCCCGGTGCCGGCCAGCACCAGGCAGGCGTACAGTTCGATTTTAGGAGGTGGCGCGTCTGCCGGCCACGGTAATGACAGGTAGGCTGAAACAGAAGAAGAACGGCATAGTCGTCCGGATTAAAAGCATGCGACAAACGTATACCAATCTTGAATCTGCAATAGTTGGAAAAAGAAGAAAATTGTGCTGTGTCGGACTTGATCTCAGACTGTAATGTCGCGACAGACGTGAAATAATACAAAACTGTACTGTCATTTTTCTTTTTCAGACTTGCCCTCGATGAGTCAAGTGAAATATTTTTTCCCGAGAGGAAGACAATCTCGCCTTCTCGGGCACTTCGATTTAGTCTCTTGGTAGCGCATAAATTACGCAAGGTTCACGCGCAAAAAGATATGACGGAGGGAACTGCAATCAAACGACAATTATTACCGCAGTACGACTGACAGGGCGACGGAGCGATAAATTTTTATTATCCGAAAGCAACATCAATATCTCGTTAATACGACGCTCCGGATCTAACCGAAACACTCAACCAACGTCCCTACGTTCGATTTTGTCTTAATGTCATTGAGCTATCGGCGGCGTGGTATCAAGGGCGATTCTTAGAGGACGGTAGGAGGAGATAGCTAGGGGAAAAATTTCACCGCCTGCTCTACCGTTGCTCTACCGTGTGTCTTTTGCTGTACGTAATGACTTCCAGTAACGAAAGCCTCGTACCAGCTGCCAAGGAAAGAAATGTACGCAAAGCCGCCGGCCGGAAACGGCCGGAAAATAAGGAAAGGCAACGAACCATTCGGGACCTCGCCCGGAAAGTTTTACTGATTAAAGTAACCTTAAACGAGCGGGCAAAGGAGAGCCCTCCGAAGCCGCTAATGTAATCTCGTAATCGTCGCCGATGCGCTCTCGCTCTTTTTATCTCTATGGCATTAAACCGAAGTTACGAAATAAATAGAGTCTCGCGCGGATACGATATTTACATATCAAAGAAACGGGCTTTTCACGTCGGCAAAAAAACGCATTTGCAAGAAATATTATTGAGGAAGTATTTCCCAAGAACGCATCATCCGCGCGCGCAAGAATCCGAGACAGACGAGTCTCGGGGATTTGTTTCAGTTTCGCGCAACGGTGACCGGCGACGTTATCCGAAAGTGAAATTAATAGACCGGTAAGGGATTTTCGGGCGAATAAATAAAAGGATCTTCGAGAGACTGCTGAGGTAATCGAGAGTCGCAGGGAGGCGTATTTTACCAGGATAAAACCTGAGGGAGAGAAGCGCTATCTTACCGGCGAATCGTCTGGCGTATCTCATTGCTATGTACGCTTGAAAAGCGACAGCTAGAATGCCGTACCAGACGGACCAGAGGCTGTTCACATGACCGCGTATGCACGATTCTTTCCTCGCCGATTTTCGCGCTTTCTTCGACTTGCTCGAAGTGGTGGTTACGCCGCTCGAGCTGATGCTCGACACAACCGGTAGCGGCTTCAACGGCTTCTTACACTTGGCCTGGTTCACATCGTTGTTGTTCTCGTATCCCATTAAGCTCCCAGTCATCGACATTTTGTCCTGCAAGAAGGAAGCAGAGGAAACGTTTTCGATTAGTCGCGGGTAGTGTTTGTGCAGAGAGAGAGAGAGAGAGAGAGAGCGCTTTTTATTCTCCTTCACGTCGAGTGGAGCAGCATTCCTTGGCAAACATTTGCACGTGGCGTTCTCTTGAAAAATTCCCAGTAGCGTCCACGATATCTCGATAATTAAACTTTGAATTAAAATTCTGTTAAGGAAATTCCGCTCGATGTTGAATAAAACAATACATTGTCCCTTTGTTTGGTTTGCTTTTTTCAAAGCCTAATCAGCTTCGGACCAGTCCGCTAGTAATCTAAATTACACACAGTGGCGACACGGAAATTGACACGGAATTGACTTCAAAATTGAGATTAAAGCGCGCGGAGAATAATCAGTTATCGAACGATATTCTGGCTTTTGGAACTGGACTTTCTAGCCATAAGCAAAAAGAAGAAGAAGAAGAAGAAGAAGAAGAAGGTAAAGAAAGAAGAGGAAGAAACGGAAAGAAAAAAGTGACATTCTTTCATTCACCGTGGGGGTTCAAAGTTGTCACCGTCGTTATCGCCGATTTCATCTAGACTGCAGCGTTTTGACGGCGCGATTTCATGATTTCTCGGCTCGGCCGACCAATTCCGCGCGTCTATTTCAATTATCGCCCTTTACCCGATAATCACCCGGCAGACCGTAGCGTTTTATCTCGCGAGCGACTCTCGAGTCATTTCCATTTTAGCCGGCTACACGGGAGTCCCGATGCGTTCCAACGGTTTATCTCTCGTGCGCCATTGAGCCTCCTGGGAGGCTCCTTTCTGCCGTTGTATCTTTCCCCGTTACTTTTCTGCAGAGAGCGCGCGGCTCCTTCTCATTCGCGCTTCTTCTTCTACTTCTTCCTCCTTTCCTCGGCATTTCACAGTCACGTCGCTACGAAAGCAAGGGAAGCTCGCGGATACGGTTATGCTAAAATATTAGGTTGCCGCGCGCGGGTTTGTCTCGCGCCCTTTTAAATATTGAAAAGGATCTGACGCGTGTATATACACACATACTAACGGATCTCTTAAATATTAACGGGATTTCCGCTTTGAGACGGAGTTTAGGTTTAAGAAATAATCCCTCTCGCGTGTCATCAATTTCACGCACGAGCTCGTTGCCTCGCGAGGCTAACATTTGTTAACGCTGCGCTTGGGAACGTCTTTTCCATATTCTCTTTCAAGCAGAATATTATTTGTACATTCTCGTCTCTCTCTCTCTCTCTCTCTCTCTCGAGTACAATTCTGTATCAAATTTATCGGTCAAAGCAGCGCGAGCAACCGTCCATTATCCTCGGGTGCTTGAGAAACTTAATGAAAAGTTCTAATTTATACCGCAATCCCCTCGAATCGGGTAATTAAAAGAAGTCGCGTGTGTACTTTACCGCCTGCTATTTTTTATTGCTACATTGACCGCGGTACTTTTGTGAAACGAGGCGCAGTTTGTTTCGCCCGCCGCGCCGCGCCGGCTCGTGGCGAGGTCAGAGTAATTAAAATATAAACGAGCGCCAGTTTCCAGTTTTAGGGCTCGAGCGCGCGCACCTATTCCGCCTGTTTTCCGTTCGGTTATGAACCGACCGGCCTCGGAGCCCCTCGCTCGCGCGCGCGCGCTCTTAAGCCTAGGGGTTGTAAAGTGCAAAGTTTTATGATCGTTTTCGCTGGATTCGTTCCACGATAAAATTTCAAGAAGGGAGGCGTTGGCGCGGACGCGTGCGCGCGCGTGCGAGAGAGAGAGAGAGAGAGAGCGAGCGGTGCGTGCGTGCGAAGAGGCACGTGCGTGACCGTATCAGGGACCCGCGAGGCGTGTACTCGCCTTCCTGTTTCACGATCTGAGAATTTATAGTCCCTCCGTGAACAACCAGCCACGAAATCCTCGCACAATGCAAAGCTTTCCTTCTACGTTCGCGCGCGGGCAAATTCGATATTAGCGCGCTCGCGCGACGACAGCGGCCATTAAACGAAACGGACACGGATGCTAGGATATCGTTTCGTTCGACCTGTGTTGTAGCCGAATCATTTCCGGGTAAGAAACGCGCGCGCGTGAAGCGTGAATGAGGAAGAAAAGAAACGGACACGCGATCTTGGCGACTTGCTTCTTCGCGGAGCGGAGCAAAATGATTCTTCTCGAATCGTTTTTGCCGTACGCGCGACGGCTCCGTATTTTTCCGAGAGGGAATCCTGACGACGTGTGATGTAAAACAAAAATAAACGAAAAAAAAAAAAAAAACAGAAAAGGGCACCGCGACGTTGCTGTCCGTGCGGAGACTCGCACAGCCGACGCGCAGGAATTTTCGTGCTTTTCCCCGACCGTCGAGTCGCGCTCTCTTGCGCGGCGCAAGTGGAAATATTAATTAGCATCCAGACGAATCCACGTTATGCGCCAGCGTCAAAGGAAGTGTCGGGCTCTGAAGAGCCGGGGGGGCTTCATGGGCGACCTTTTTATAGACGAGAAATCGCGAGAATGCGTTTCAATGAGACGATCGGTGAGATTCTCTTAAAATAACGCCGGGCAATTAACGCCGGGTTCGGGGAGGAATTGATCTTCCGTCGAGTGGTAAGCCAATTAGCATTTATCATACATTATTCTATAATTTGCGGTTGATTGAGATCTCGATAAGTAAGTTTCGAAGCCGAGGCGGAAAAGCTGACCTCCCGCTCCCGCTCCCGCTCCCGCTCCCTCTACCCCACTCTAGTTCGCTATTATCAGGAAATTCCTTTGCAGTTACAATATTTGAAGTACGTACTATCGTAGCTTAATGCGCATAGTTTGGGAAACTCGACTACGCGCGGGCTGAACGTTCTCCAATTTAAATATTCCGTGAAATATTAGCTCCCTCCAACTTTTCTACAGTGTTATCAAAGTGATAGAAGCCGCTCGAAATTAGCTTTTACACTTGAAGGATTACGCTTGAAAGTCGCTAGCAGATTTTCAAAATCTTTCGCTAAGTCCGCGGGATCGTCGTGGGAACGTAAAATCCACGCGCACCCGGCTGAAACTTTGCGCGCCGCTACTGCGAAACGTGGCTAGGCGACGAAAAAGTCCGCGATTACGTGCGGTACAGCTTAAAAGTTCAATTGAACACCGCGTGCGCGCGCGCGCGCGCGCGAGCAAATGCAGACACAGGCGCTCACACACGCCGGCTGGAGTGTGCGATTAGTTCTTCAGGAAAGACAATCTAGGTGGCCGATGAATTCTAGTTTTGAGTCGGCGACTCGCGAGAAACGGCGAGACAATCCCATAATTTTATCCGCCGGCAGGAATGGCCGGCGGAAGCCCCGAGGGACGGATATCCTCCGAGTCCTTGTGATTTTAACATAAAGAGAAAGGAAAAGGAAGAGAGAGAGAGAGAGAGAGAGAGAGAGAGAGAGGTTAAAACGAAGCGGAGAAAACGTTCGTGTATTCGTTCCGCGAAGAATTCAATTACAACGTTTCGTCGATGTCGCTCCGGGGAGAAAGTTCGTCCTCGCGGAACTTTTTAATCAGAAAATTTAGCCGATCAGTCGGCGGCGCGGACAAATTACACTTTCTCCAAGCGCGAAACCGATATTCAACTTACGACGGCAACTTACCAGATTTCTGTCGAGTCTTCTAAAGTCTCGAGTAGGCTTCTCCGCGATAATTGATTCGAAGATCTAGCATCTCTAGGCGGTGGTAGCGCCTGAAACAGGTAAACAAGGGGGCTGTGTTTAGCGAGGTTTCTCGACGAGCTCTGAAACAGCATTCCGGCGAAGCACGAGAAGCACCGCGCCGTTTTACGTTTTTCATATCAGGACGACGTTTTTTAAATACGACAACATTTTCGCGCGACGGAAGTCTGGGAAATCTGGGCGACGGAGGGGACACGTGTTTCACGTTCCAACACGGCGAGAAAAGCACCGCGTACGCGTCGCTTCAAGTTCCCGAGGAGCTTTAAATTTCGCGACGACTCGGCGCGATCGAAAGCGCTCACAGACGCGAGGCAGACCTCTTCTCTCGCGCTCAGGAGGATCCCCCCCATCCGTCCTCCCGTCCTCCTGTCTACGTTCGCGCGCGCATGCGGATTCTAATTTACGCAGCGTGTTGACTTTGCAAGTACATTTGCGAGTAGCGGCTCAGTCGCTCCATTAATCATATTGTCCTCGTGATGCTGCTCGGATGGGATTAGGCGATGTTTGTTGTCCCGCCGTGTTTATCCTGCAGGAGCAGGAATGCTACGTCGGACCAGGAGAAGGACCAGCCGCGGCGTGACAATCGCCGCGACAATCCTTTGTTGATCAATAAAATTTGCCGCTCACCCGAGCCGAGATAATGAGCTTGCGCGAGCGCGCTCGGACAAGTCGCGTTAATTACACGGTCGCGCGCGCGCCCGCGCGTTTGTGGCTCATGCGAAGCGTGCTTCCCTTTCATTGCGACCCGAGTCGCTCGCTCGCAGCGTGCGTGTGTTCATTATTGGCTGCGCATAATGCGCCCCCGTGAGTGTCTTAAAATTCGTCGCGCGGCCGGGATCGTGCGGATTTGAGCGCGTCGGTCCGCGTCTGGTACAAAGTAACCGCGAACGTAAAACCCCTTTAATCCCCCGATAGATCGTCGTCGGGGAGAATTAATCCCTGCCCCCGCCCCCGTTTTCTTTTATTAAGGGATATAAAAATGACAAACGTACGACACGCCGCTCTCAATCAATTAATTAATCGCTCAAATTCCTCATAATTGGGGATTCTCTCTGGCCGAGGTAAAACCCGTCGTTACACATTGCGGATTCTTTCGGCTCGAGTGACTTTGGAGAAGATTACTCGAGAGAGTAAAACCGCTTTGTCGCTGATCTCGTAGAGATTATTCAGATTTTTACAGAAGGACGCATTTTGATCAACATTCTTGCGACTGCACGACGCGGGTTTTTTTCACAAACCCGTCATTTCGATCGCTCTGGTAAAAAATAGGTCGCGTTCGCTCGTCGTGGTGGTGGTTGTAGCTCGCTTGTAGAGCGAACAATAGGCCTAAAGGCCTAAAGGCCACTTGAATAATTCCTCGTTGCGTAATTATCGGCACTCGGGTTTCACTCGGGAAAAATTATCTTCCGCCCTCGGAATCGGCCCTCGTCGGGCGAGCGTCGGCGAGCGCGACAGTGAAAACCGAAATGACTCTCCGCCGGTGTCTCTCTCCTCATTCTTTTCAACGCGGTCACGCGGTCGATTTCACAAAGAGAAAGATAACGCAGTGCCATTAGTCTGATTACAGTTTCGTATTACGCGGCACGAGCAGCACCTGAGCACTCCTTCCAGGATGGTGTTTGGCCATTGTGCGCACCCTGGTAGCTCGAGTCGAGAAAGGTAAGCCCGCGTATTATAGCCCGGTATAAGAAGGCAAAACCGCGAGTTCATTAATTTTACCCCTCGAGGCAAACCTCGAGCTCACACAAAGCACACCCGCGAATTAACGCGACGCACAATACGAATAAATACACGCCGAGCGAGCCGGCTTTGGAAGGAGACACGTTGCGACGGAGCAATAAGAATGACATTCGAGTTACGCCGGGAATCATTTTTAACGTCGCTTAACGTTTGAAGATAAGCAAAGCACTCGAGCCTACTTGAATGAATCAAAGGGAGATCACAGTCGATTTAATTAAGCCGTATTAATTAAGTCCCGCGCTAAATTACTTCCGTAAAATAATATAACGGCGGTTGGCGCGCGCGCAGGCTCGTTGTCACGTTAGCGGAATAATTCGCTGAAAGCCGGCCGGCTTCTTCTCTCGCTGCGTGCACTGCGTTAGGTTAGGTTACTCGCGCCCGGGATGACGAAGGGGTGTGTATTGTCCGTGGAGGCGATCGACTGTTCGTCTCACGACTGTCATCATTGCCGCGCAACGGCAAGAGCGGCGATGCTGGCACGTTACGACAGCGATAAAGCCCGGGACAATTTTATCTCGTCGGTGTTAGAACGCCGGCTGACGAAATGGTCGCAGATTACATTCTACCGGGGATATAATAGACCAAACAAACATATGTATGACGGCTCGTACATGTGCTCCTTTAATCCTCCTCGCGTCTCGGTCATACATTTTACATTAGATCGATTCCCGTTAGTTCCTCTCTTTCACCGTTCGCGGATCGCAGCTGGCAGCTGCGCTGTGTTTCCCAAGCCGAGTGAGAGCCGAATTCTCTGCTGATGGATTTCTTGGGAAAACTAACGTCGACGCCGTTTCGAGCAAAACGTCGGAAATCGTCGGAGCTGCGCGTCGCACAGCAGCGAGACGTGTATCCGTTGTGTAATCGCGCAAAGTTCCTCCCGTATTTCTCGTCATTGTCACTTGTCGTGAACGTCACTCGCGAGAACCGTCGCGAGACGTCGCCGAGCAGGTGGACGCGACAGAATTCGATCGAATTTTCCACGCATTTTCCTCCCGCATTTCTCTCTCTCTCTCTCTCTCTCTCTCTCTCTCTCTCTCTCTCTCTCTCTCTCTCTCTCTCTGCATATCAAGCTTTCACACGCCGACTGTCGGCCAACCGTCGTCATCGAATCGCATCTTGATGCGCACGATACATATTAACCGCAATACTTATTACGAACTTATCGCACTGTCGGGAAATTTCGGTATTAAGACTGCGATCCGGTTCAATCAAGGCCAACCCGAACCCGACAAGGTGACAGAGGCGAGGGAAGAAGATCATCAGACAGGTGTAACGGCGAGCGCGACTCCTCGGCAGGGAGGGGGGTGGGGGGGAGGGGCGGCGGCGATCTTTATTAGTAACCGTACAGGGAAGATTGCCGTGTCGTTCGAGTCAATCATCTCAGCCTCCGCGAAATTCCTGCGTATCGCGAGGCTGAACGCCTCGCCGGTAATTACATCACTCGCGATAAATCAGAGCGGCGCGCGCCGCTTGGCATTAATTATCCGTCAGGCTACAGCAGCGAACAATGCAGGCGAAGTGGCAAAAACTTCCTTCTACTCGCGGCAAGAATGTCCACTCGGAGGAAATGTGAGAGGAGACGATGTTGATGTATCATCCGTGGCTTCCGTCGCGACGTGTATTGCAAAATACTCGAGCGCTCGCAAGAATCGTGCGGAAGAAATCGCGACGACGGGAGGAGATATCGGGAGAGAAATTGTTAGAGTGCGATAGTAGCTCCGGAGAAAAACGGCGCGCTATTCTTCTACAGCCATCGAATTCGTTGCTTAATGAGGAGAAACACACCATCTGCTGCTGATAAAAAATATTTCATCCTCCTTCTCTGTCTGTGCGTGGGTGGATGGATGGATGGGTTGTGCCAATGTAAATATTAAATTAAATTAAGTGAAACTATCAGATCAGCGATACGACTGTAAATACAAGTTAAATCGCCCTTACTGTGTTGGCACTCTCACAATATTGACTATTCCGATATTGGCGCCAGCGACAATTTAATCATTCTCAGCGTGACGAATAAAAAGAAGGTCTTTTGTAACGCCGGTCAAAGACTTGATATCCCGTAAACATCAATGCTTTTCATCAATGCGTTCAAAGAACTAAGAGCTGATCGTAACTCAATTAATCGGAGGAATAATTGAGTTACTCTGTCGATGCGATACGAGACGGTAGTATTCTTCGGAAAAAGCTTGATTGAGTTACTTTGTCAGCCTCGTCGACACTATTGTCAATTTAATTCTCTTCTACAATTTACAAGCTAGCTCCAAAATTAAAAGCTGCGAATTTTTAACAAGAGAACACATTTACATAATAAGTCAATAATAAGGCTGTCGCAACGGACAATCATAAGGAGGCAAAATGGCAAGAAATTGTAGGCGAATAAGAGTAAGAACGCTGGTCTTGCAGCGAAAGAAGGTCCCAACCGAATCTTTTCAACGTAGATTTAATACGACGATGACTTTTCCAATTGTTTCTTTTCGCTATAAAACCAGCGTGTGCCTCTCATTCTCCTCCTCTTTATATAATCCACATTTATTTTCCTGTGCTATTTCGTGCTATGCTCGTGACATATGCTTATCTGACTCGACGGGTAAAATGACGAGCAATTTCGCAGAAGTGAAAAGCTGCGAAGCTGATATAAGCGCGAGTCTAACAAGGACATGGTTATCCGCTTCTGACGAAGCGGTAAGCGCATTTCCGCGCGTAGAGTCCAATTACCGTCGCAAAAATCATCGGCCGACTAATTCGGCGGGCGAAATTCATCACGCCGGTGCGTCCCCGGCGTGGTTCACGGCGCGACAGCGAAAAGTTTAAAAGCCGCAGCAAACAGGCTGCTGTAAACAGACTTCGGGTCTTGTTAAAATGATCTCGCGGGTGTGATTTATCACGCACGACACACACCGCCGACACGCGAGGCGCGATACGTTCGCGAGTTAGTGCGCGTGCAAAGAAGCGTGTAAATCGAGAGAATTATAGCACCGCACGCTTTTCCGCGTATAAAGGTCGCTCTGCTTCTCGCGTGACGACGTGACGGTGACGTCGTGCACGCGGGAAAATGAAAAACTCGTGATTAACTCGTGGCCGACCTTAAAACGTCGCGCCGTTTGTATCCCGGATGAATTATTGCGCGGCGGGATATCCCGAAACCCTATTATCTCGCCGGGAGGAGCGAAAATTCGAAGACGGAAGGTCGAGATGGATTTTCGGGCTTTGCTATTTTGCCGAGTTTGCGGCTTTCTTCCGAACCTCCACCGTCCTCCCTCTTCCATTGCCG